CCAAGACATCTCCAATTACACACACACATACACACACACACACACACACACACACACACACACGTATTCTTTCTTCGGCACAAACTGACCAACAAAGCACTAAGGCAATGAATAAATTGTCAGAGTTCTGCTGGGGTGGGGGGTGGGTTAAACTTTAGCTTAGGGAGCAATAAGGGAGCAAAAGGACCTTGGAGGTCTTCTATTCCAAAACCCTGCTTAGGCAGGAAACCCCATACCACTTCAGACAAATGGTTATCCAACATCTTCTTAAAAACTTCCAGTGTTGGAGCATTCACAGCTTCTGGAGGCAAGCTGTCCCACTGATTAATTGTTCTAACTGTCAAGAAATTTCTCCTTGGTTCTAAGTTGCTTCATTAATTTCCATATTTCTTGTCCTGCCTTCAGATGATTTGGAGAATAGTTTGACTCCCTCTTCTTTGTGGCAACCCCTGAGATTTTGGAACACAGCTATCATGTCACCCTCCTCATCCTTCTTTTCATCAAACTAGACCTATCCAATTCCAGCAACCGTTCTTTAACCTCTAGACTAAACTGGCTCTTGCCACTGCCTTCAGCTTTCAACTTTTCAACTAGCCTTCAGTTTAATCTTGCAAGGCAGCCACTCACCTAAGCATTCACCAGGGCTAACCTGTTAGATGTTATGAAGGAGACTTTGTGAAAAATCATTGATTTGCGATAGGAAAAGAAGACTGTGGCTGTTAAAATAAGACTTTTGTAAAAGAAGGGTTTCATATTATCAATTTAATAGATCCATAATGAAAGCTGACTGGATAGGAAGTACAGCTCTTGAATGAAAAAAAAAATGAACGAAAGGGCCATATTGAAGAGAATAGGGCAAAACCCTGACAAGACAAATGGTAAGAAAGTAAACAGTATATCCAATAAAGCAAAGACAGATGGGGAATGCTCCAGAGCCAGCAATCAATGTGGATTGATTGACTAATGTGAATTGTGCAAGGGCTGGAGGAAAGGAAAAGGTTAGTATGCAAGTTGGAAAATGAAAAACAATATGATATTGGAACTCTTTGGGGAAATAAAAGAAAAAGACAGATGTGAAAGCAATTGATTTCCTCAGACCTGGGGATGATGAAAAAGACTCAGTGATGGCATACTAATTATGCTGATAGGGATTTATGAGCCTTTTTATGGTAAATAATGTGTGGATTATCTGATAGAATTTTATTACCCTATAGTGCTGTACAAGTATGTGGAGGCCCAAATAATCTTAACTAAGCTACTATTTTCATTTATTTGTTTTGTTTTAAACTATATTTTTTGGCCCAACGTGCAACCTTTGCTTGAAAATGTAATCACAACGACTTGAATCTAAAACTGAAGTTTGTGATGGAAGAATTTAGACATGTTGAATTTCTCATCCGATATAGTTTTTTTTATTTGAACATTTCTTCATAATGCTTGGGCTAAATGATCCATTTGATGCCAAGCCTGACAGCTGGAACATAAACTTGGAGAGTTTTGTAGAAAAAAAGTTTTAATATCTCTGGAAAACCAATAGAGATGTAGGTGGTAAACAGCAATATGAAGTAACTATTGTGCAAAAGGAGAACTTGAAATTAAACTCCTTGTTGTTTTATTATAAGTAAAGGTAAATATTCCCCTTGCACATATATGCTAGTTGTTCCTGACTTTAGAGGGAGGTGCTCATCTCGGTTTCAAAACTGAAGAGCCAGCGCTGTCCGAAGACGTCTCTGTGGTCATGTGGGGGCATGACTAAACGCTGAAGGCGCAGGGAACGCTGTTACCTTCCCACCAAAGGTGGTTCCTATTTGTCTACTTGCATTTTTACATGCTTTCGAACTGCTAGGTTGGCAGAAGCTGGGAGAAATAATGGGAGCTCATAGTGCTGGCTCTTTGGCTTTGAAACAGAGATGAGCACTGCCCCCTAGAGTTACGCGGAACTAGTGATTCGAACCACCGAACTGCCTTTCTGCTCGACAAGCTCAGCGTCTTAGACACTGAGCCACATAATAGGTTGTAACTCAACTACCACCTGATCTGAACTTCAAACGGTACATTTAGATTGTGAGTTCCTTCTTTTCTTGGTTGGCACCTAAATCCAATTAGAAGATTTCTAATGAGCAGACTAACACCTCAGGATTTTGCAATCACCTGGGACTATACTGGTTTTATTTTGGTGCCTACACAGGGAATACACACAAAAGTCAAGTGAAAAAGAAAGAATTAATGACCATTGCCCAATTATAAATCAAAGACAAAGTACAGCACATCATACAAATATTTCTGCTCAAAGACCACCCCTTAATATGCAATTTCACAATCGAGGAATGCTTCAGCTGGTGGGAGATGGCTTTGGCATTCATTAATCCAAATCCTCTGTGACTTAAAATAATATCTTTGGCAGGTGCACATGATCCCTTATCTTCGGACTTCGAAAGGAGCTTGAGGCTAAATGATGGAAGTGTGGAAACTGAGGAGGTGACGGAGATGGTGGGAAGGCCAGAGGTGTTAGTGTTGCCAAAAAGGATACCATGCGAGGTAAGCTCTGCTAAAGAAAATGCAGTCCCCACAAATGCATTCTTTTTATTCCATTCGAAAGAAAAGTGCACCAAAAGAAATAAACCTGCCCAGAGTTCTAAACTTTAGCTTAGGATAAGGGAGCAAGACTCACTTTTTACAACTGAATCTCCGCTAAACTGACAGGATAACGAGTTTCTTTTTAAATGTTTTGAGAATAACAGAACAGAAAGGGATCTTAGAGGTCTTCTAGTCCAATCCCCTGCTCAGGCAGGAAACCCTCTACCAGTGTAGGCTAACCTTTTTTGGACCGTGTGCCCAAAGCATGTGTGCATGCACCAGAACCCCCAAAATGCAATGCATGCGTGACCCCACCTATGAATGTGCCCTGATTCCCCCCCCCCATCCATGCACCACCACCACCCCCAAGCATGCACAGCAGAGTCCCGAAGACCAGCTGGCCGGTGGGAAGCGCGCAGTGGTGGGTTTCAACATTTTTTAGAACCTCTTCTTTAGGTGTGACCTGTTTTGTGGGAGTGGCTTGCCAGCCCTGTGACCGGGTGGGAGTGGCTTGCCAGCCATGTGACTGGGTGGGCGTGGCCAACTTGTAAAATGTGGTGAAACTCACTTAACAACGCTCTTGCTTAGCAACCAAAATGGCTCAGGAACTCTGGCATTGAAGTGTGCAAGTCTTAAAGCTGTCAAGTTACAAAACCCTTGCACCCCTAACCCTTTAGGAAAAAAACCCCAGGGGTGTTCAAACTTGACAGCTTTAAGACTTGTGGACTTCAACTCCCAGAATTCCTCCTCTCGCTCTTCATCTTGATGATGTGCAGACGAGCGGGGGGAGGGAGCTGGAACCAGTTCTAAACGGCACTGTAGATTTGTGAACCTCTTCTATAGAAGAGGTTAGAACTGGCAGGAACCCACCCCTGTGGGCGTGTGTGTATATGTATGCTGGAACTGAGCTGGGACGGTGGCTTGCGTGCCCAGAGAGGGCCCTGCGCGCCACCTCTGGCATGTGTGCCATAGGTTCACCATCATGGCCCTATACCATTTCAGGCAAATGTTTGTCCAATCTCTTTTTTAAAACTTCCAATGTTGGAGCACCCACAACTTCTGCAGGCAAGTCGCTTCACTGATTAATTGTTCTACTTGTCAGGAAATTTCTCCTTAGTTCTAGGTTGGTTCTATCATTGATCTTAGTTTCCATCCATTGCTTCTTAAGAGATCCTGTCTTTGAGAGATCCTGTCAAAATCAGTGAGCTTGTTGCTGCCCTCATTTTAGCCCTAAAACTCATGGTGCAACAGCAAATTAGTTTCCTTAAGCTTTGCCTGCAGGCTGGTTTAATGGAGGAAATACTGGGGTTCTGCCTTTGTTAATGAGATTTTTCTCCTCTTCTGCAGAATAACCTATTCTGCTTCTTATCTTATTTTGTGGAATATTTCATCCTGTGGAAGGGATCACTTAGATCGAGTGAATTCTGTTTCTGAATCTATGTGGGAAGCTACACCTCTCCTAGAAGAATGAAATATTTTGAGGAATATTAGAAAGGCAGAATATTATATTTCCCTGGATGAGAAATGCAGAAACATGTTTTTAGAGGGAAAAAACAGCCCTTACCTTTCTTAATAGCACTCAGCAGATGTCAGCACTTAAGAGTTAAAGTGACAGACAGCTCTATTCATAAGCAAATACCAAAGATCCAAAACAGGAGGAAAGCCATTAGGACACAATAGAATTTGCCCAACACCCTTTCAGAACACAAGCCTCTTCATTGCATCATTTCACAGCAGCCCAAACTTCAACCAAACTTAGCTCAGACAAACATGACTCTTATATGACTCCCCATGGGAGTCTGACAACAGCCAATAGAATACATGTTCTTGCACAGGAACAGGAAGCTCAAGTTCAAAGCCCAAGGGAAGGTATTAAAAACCCCTCACTCTCAATTCCATGTGATCAGCTGCACCAGAATTCATGTGGTTCTGCTTCATCATTAAACCATCTTTTTAATCAGCCACCATGTTTCCAGTGTCTTTCTCCCGACTTGGAACTGAACCAGATGGATATTTCTCCCAACATTATATTATTCCGCAATTCTCTCAATTTTTCATTATGAAATCAGTTAAGCTGTTATGTTTAGGATTAGGGTTGTTGTTACAACAGTTATTAGTCTTTAATGTGCCACAATGTCTATTTCATTTACTGAAAAAGGGGGTGAGGAATAAAATAGCCATTTAGAAAGCTACTTCTGCAAAGAAAGTGATCTGACTATGACAAAGTCCTAAAGTTTGAATTCACTATTGCCCTAAACTGCCCTAAATCAGTTCAAGGGTGCATCCTAGTACAAAGAGGTAATGTTTTGTTGAAATAATCCATCTTCTCATGCAGGCCGAATAATCGCTTCATAAAAAAAAATATGTAGCTGGATAACATATGTTCTTCTGCTAAGGTTTTAAACAACTTCAATGAAAATTCAAGTTGTATAGATTTAATTTATTGACCCAAAGGAATAATTGGACACAACTCATACTTTACAGTGCCCTGGAGAGATGTTCGTTATTTTAAGAGATGATGTTCCCGGAGATTCGGTGGTCATTGAATTTATAACAGAAAATGAATGGATCAGGATTGAACCAGATTTTTGGAATCAGAAAGTCAGGTTCATCAAAGCTCTAGGTAAGAGTTGGTACCAGTTCAGGGAAAATAAAAATATTCAATATAACAAAATGGAATGTTATACAGTATTTCCCATTATTTTTATGTGTCAGCTTTGACTTATCAAATTCTACTTTATTAAATGAGAGGCATAAAAGTTTTTGACTTATCAAAAACTGGAGGCATTTAGTTGTTTATCCATGATAAGGTGGCAATTGACAGTCTTTAAAATGCCATTCATTAGTCATAGTTTGCTAGACTTAATCAGTTCCCGCTGCACATATTATTTAGAGCAACACAGCATAAATCTGTAGCACATATTATTATCACTGCATGACATTTATGAAGATATTGTCTTGTTTCACGTGGGGAGTTTTTTCCAAGTTCTCTTGTCATTTATTTGCACCAATATATTTGGCCATATTTTGATGTTTTATAGTGTGTCTCTGCTTATTCTTTTTGATCGTGACATTAAGTAATATTTAGTAAATCAGTGGTTTCAGCTTAGTTGAACAAAGGGTTTTTGCCCAATGTAGAAAGTGAAACTTTTTGTGGCTCTTGCATGTCTCTCTGACCATTGTTAAAAAATTGACATCGCATCTTTATTATGAGATGGGAAACATATGAAAACTAAGCCCTAAAATGTGCATATTATAATTTTTAAAAAAGATTTTTTTTTCTCCAAATGTAAAATTGCCTATATGGTGTAAATAGCCATAGCCCTTTTGCAGCACTCAACCCCTCCAAAAAATACTAAGTGCTACAAAACTTGAAAACATCAAAAATTGTTAATCTGCCCTACTGAAGACTACTGTATTTTTCAGAGTATAAGATGCACCCTTTTCCCACAAAAAAGAGGGTGAAAATCTGCTGCATCTTATACACTGAATATAGCATTTTTGGCCTCCTGATGGATATGCATAGCCTTTAGGAGGCTTGTAGAGTGCTCTTGGGGGCAAAAAATGGGCTGTTTTTCTCTGCAGCCCTCCCAAACCCTCTGCACGCCTCATTTTTTGTGAAAAAGGGCCTGTTTTGAAAAAAAATGAGCTGTTTTTCGCTCATTTCCCCACCCCCCAACACCCAGGAGCACTCTACAAGCCTTCTAAAGGCTATGCATGCTCTTTTTTTGGACAAAAATGGGCCCATTTTCAGAAAAAATGGGCCGTTTTTCCTTGCCCCCCCCTCCAGCACTCAGGAGCATTTTTCAGGCCTCTCAAACTCTCTGCATGCTCCATTTTTCACAAAAAATGAGGTGTGCAGAGGGTTTGGGAGGTCTACAGAGTGCAAATACTTTTTTAAAAATCTACCTCTTCAAAATCTTGGTGCATCTTATGCTCTGGTGCGTCTTATACTCCGAAAAATACAGTAGTTTCTTCCAACTGCTTTTTAAAGATGTTTTTGTTGGTGCTACCAAGAGAACCAACTTGGTGGAACAGTTAAGGCAAAAGGTTACAAACAAAACAAAAAAACTGAGCACAAAGCCAGCTGGGTGAACTTGCTAACCACCAAGAAAAGTTCAGGGACTAAATGGAGTAGTTGTCAGGAATCAAAATCTGATTCAAAGGCACCAAAAAACAAAGTGGCATCAAGATAAGATTGTGGTGTGGAACTCCAGGGTCTGGGCATAAAGCCAGCAACATTGGCTTATCACATTTTTCATTACATGAATTAATACACAGATTATCACCTAATTGTGCAACTGGAAATCCTTCTCCATCCCAAAGCACAGAATATTCATTGAAATGTTTGTAAATATTTCCAAAGTATGCTGTGTATTTCAAAACTTTCTTTGTTTTCCTTTGTTCTCTAGCCTCCAAATATAGTTTAATTCTACCTTCTTGCTCCACTGCTGCTGATTCTTTTCTTCCATTGATCTCTACTTTTTTTTATTTATTTTTTTACACGTTTGGCTCCCCTGTGAATCGTTGACTTCTCAATCTGGAATAGATAACGCAGAAGCATTCTGAATGTGAATCAGTGTGGAAAGGTCTTGGCAATAATTCTGTGGGTTGCTTTTTATTGTTCTTCATTTTTTTCCACTGAGCTTTTAAAATGTTCTGTTTTATAAGATTTTCCTGCTGGCTTTGTAAATGTAAATATCTACTGTGGAGGAGACATTAAAGCCACAGTGCAGATTGAATACTACTCAACAGTGGGAGAGCTTGAGCAGATGCTTCAGAAAGTGGCTGATCCAATTGCATTTACCTGTCAGGTAAGCTGTTCTCTACATTAAACAGTTAATAAAAAAAGTTAATAGACTATTATCTAACTTAATGGAGTTCATAAAATAAGTAGGGTTCATAGTTGGAGTTTTTTTCCCCCTATCCAAATATTTTATTTTTATTTATAATGTCTAATGCAGTGGTGGGATTCAAATAATTTAACAACCAGTTCTCTGCCCTAATGACCATCTGGGTAGGTGGGGCTCGGTGGTCATGTGACTCAAGGTCACTAAGGTCGATGGGCATTTCACCTTAGCTGTTACAATGTAATAAGGGTTAACCGGAGAGGCAGTTTCTGTAAGCAGGGCAATAAAGATTAGTCCAGAAACAACAACAGAATGTTTCCTTCCTGCCTTCCTTACAGGAGTAGCCCTATAAAGTGGAAAAAAACAAAATAAGATTTCTTCCAACAACCGGTTCTCCCAACTCCTTAGAAAGTTACCAACCGGTTATCCTGAATAGGTGCGAACTGGCTGAATCCCACCACTGGTCTAATGGAATAGGGATGCGGTGGCTCAATTGTTAAGACGCTGAGCTTGTCAATCAGAAAGGTTGGCAGTTCAGCGGTTTGAATCCCTAGCACCGCATAATGGAATAAGCTCCCGTTACTTGTCCCAGCTTCTGCCAATCTGGAACCACCTTTGATGGGAAGATAACAGCATTCTGTGCTCCTTTGGCATTTAGTCATGCTGGCCACATGACCACGGAGACGTCTTTGGACAGCGCTGGCTCTTCGACTTTGAAACGGAGATAAGCACCGCCCTCTAGAGTCGGGAACGACTAGCACATATGTGCGAGGGGAACCTTTACCTAATGAAATAAATAATATTAAACAGTAGATTCCCCCCCCAAAAAATAATGTTGGGTATCAGCATGCTAGAATGAAAATGCCAGTACCAGAAAGTTAGTATTTCAGACCTATGCAAATATGAAGTAGAAATGTATATAGATAATGCTCAACTTACAGCAGTTCATTTAGTGACCATTCAAAGTTACAATAGCGGTGAAAAAAAGTGGCTCATGACTGTTTTTCACACTTACAACTATTACAGCATCCCCATGGTCACATGATCAAATTTCAGACCCTTGGCAACTGACATGTATTTATGAGAGTTGCTGTGTCTTGGGATTATGCGATCTGCTTTTGCGACCTTCTGACAAGTCGGCAGGGAAGTCAGATTCCCTTAACCACTGTGTTACTAACTTAACAACTGCAGGAATTCCCTTAACAACTGTGGCAAGAAAAGTTGTAAAATGGGGCAAAACTCCCTTAACAAACGTCTCACTTAGCAACAGAATTTTTGGACTCAGTTGTGGTTATAAGTCGAGGACTACCCGTATTGCCTTCTAAAATGATTTATATTGGGCAATAGTGAGAATAGAGTCATACTAGAGATGAGGAACACGGATTATAAGCAGCTGTGTTACTCTGAAGCTGCTATATCTTTTAATCATTCCAACTCAGCAGTGTGAAGTCACTGGTATAATTCTTCATCACTATTCAACATTTGTTGAATGCCCAAGATAAGGGAGCAATGAAAAATAAATGAATGTAAAATACGTGGTCAATGTTTTAATGCAGGAATAGGCAACAGATGGCATTCCAAATATTGGTCGCATCCTGTAAGAATATTGGGCGGTACAGGTGAGCAACATCTGGCGTGTTGCAAATTGTGGCCTTTTTACTAAAAACAGCCAACCAGGAAACTAGAAAAGAAATATAAGGATAAGAGAAGTAGGAATGAATATGAAGAATAGCAGAATGGTATAAAGCAGTGATGGCGAACCTTTTTCTTATGGTCTGCCACAATTGTGTGTACCTACACCAATTCAATTCTTCCTGCCCACCTGCGCATGCAACCCCCCCTCCCCCTGTGCATGCATGCAGAACCCCTCCCCATACTACAGAGGCTTTCCTGAAGCCTGAGGAGGGCAAAAACACCCCCCCCCGACCTCCCGTAAGTCCAAAAATCAGCTGGCCCACCCGCACCAGATTTGATGGCTCTCATGCCAGACAAATATGGCTCCATGTGCCACCTGTGGCATATGTGCCATAGGTTCACCATCACAGGTATAAAGAAGCAATCCACTGACTAAAACAGGAGGAACAAAACCAAACATAGCAAGAGGCACTGGTGTGCACCCAGAGGTGGTATTCTACCAGTTCGGACCGGTTCAGCCGAACCAGTAGCAGGAATCACGGGTGGCTCCGGCCACCCTCCACGGCTCTATCGCATCTCATTTAGGCCATTTTTTTTTGCCCAAAGCGCATGCGCGCACTCACATTTGTGAACCCGTAGGGAAGGTAAGTATATACCACCCCTATGCGTACCCCTATAGATGGTAGGGGGTGCAAGTGTGCTCAAACCCTCAACCCTATGGAGCCACATGGAGCCCTAGAAGACTAGCAGACTTGATTGCTGCTTTACTCAAATCTGTTACTACACTACTTTCTTTTTCTATCTGTTCATTTGGAAATGGTCAGAAAAAAAGAGTAACCCAATATGCAAGGAAATGAAAGCAAATGCCCTAAAAATAAAGAGTTGTCACATAGAGGGAAATTTGGTCAAGGAAGAAAGTGTGTGTGTGTGTGTGTGTTTTCTTTATACATGTGCTACCATGTGATGTGGCAATTGCCACCGATTTACTTTTTTAGAAGGGAGATCAGACGCATACATGAACACATTCATGAAGGATGCATTTGTTTTCAAAACAGAAACAAGACTATTGATCTCATGTCCCTGAGCTTTCTGTTAGAGTCGGAATGTTGGCTAGACAATCCTTTGTCTTATTCAGTAGGTCTCTTGTTATATTAGTCAGTCTTAAAATTAAAGTTTCTTTTTAGGATTTCTTTTTATGACTGCCCACTTTGATCTTGTCAGTCCTTTGTCATAAGAGTCTTGCTATATGATTTAGAAAGACTCAGTATTGTCATAGCTTGGTGCCCATAAGATTTATGGATGTCAGAGATGCTTCATTTGTTTTCCTCATGTCATAATGCGCAATGATATCATTCCATTCCATTATTTCATTCTTGGCCTGACCAGTTGGAAACATGTTTGATCAGATATATAAAGCATGTTATGATGTTCCTAGTTTTGCTTATTTATTATATAAGTAACCAATTATCAGCTTATTAAAATAAATGCTTCAGGTATAGTTTACAATTCATTAATGCTATAGATTTCCTTGCACAAATGTAGTGTGTGTGTGTGATATCATCAGAATGAAAATAAGTGCAAGTTTCAAAGTCTGTGATCAACAGAGTAAACAGGCCTCTTGTTTGTGCAAGAGAGAGGAACTGCTGGTTCAGATTTCAGAAGCTAACTCCAGATCCTGCAACATCTTTTGAATTACCTTCTGTAAATAAATAAGAAGATAGAATCAGAGTATTTATATCTGTGTTATCACATCTGTAGATCTATTCTTAGCAAGTAGATCTGTTGTCCAAGAATCCATAGATGGAAATTAATAATAAACAAGTAATGAAATTACCATAGACGAAACAATAGGGTTTTAACATGGGTCCATCATATGTAGCTATTCAATCTTTGGAAACTTCACGGTTTCCATGCAAATGTCTTATTCCAGTGGTGGCGAACCTTTTCGGCACTGAGTGTCAAAAAGATAGCGCATGCACGCACTCATCTGGGCCACGACCCAGAAGAGGAGATAACAGGGAGGCATATGAGAACTGAAAAATGAACTTTTGGTTTCCAGTACGCGCAAGCACACCAGCCAGCTAGTCTTCCAGTTACTGCCACACTTGCACACACTCCAATCAGCGTGCTGGTGCTCATGGTCATGCCAGAAAACAGAAGACCAGTTCTTCCAGTTTCCGGCACTGCCACACGCACAAAGGCCAGCTGATCATCGTGTGCTCATGCACGCCATAAATCCAGAAGAGCAACAGATGAAGTTGCATGTGCCAGGCAACATGGCTCCATGAGCCACTTCGGGTACATATGCCATAGGTTTGTCAGCACTGTAATTTTAGAAATCCAACAAAAGAGGGCAAAATCTATAGCAAAAAGGCTTCTTCTTTTCCCCCATATAATGAGGAAGGAAAGTCTGTTTCAGAAAAGTAAAGAAATTGAAATATCATTTGTACAATGGGCAGTCTGAGGGCACTTGACATGTCTACATTGTAATTGCAATGCAAGAACAAAAATAATAGCTGTGTTTATAATTCAGACAGCCTCATTTTCATGTGACAAATCTACCATGTCTGTAGCCTAAGGCGTTCTGCTCATAACAAAGGATTAATAAAAAAAAATGATGCATTACATTATTAGCACTTGTTTAAAAACAGAAGTAAATGCCTTCCAAATAATTTTTTAAGAGTACAAAGAGTCTGTTCAATAGCACACGGTTATAAAGCAAAAGCAAGATGGAACTTTCACACTTTGCTCATCTCATCCACTAATTATTGTCTTAATAATACGAACTCTAAATTGAGGACATTACAATTATCACCATCATCACAGTTGTACTTTCTGTACATTTGAGGAAAACTTTGAGGTTAAAAGTCTACTAATTAACGAGGTTGGCGAATTATGACTTGATGCAGAGTATATGCAGGAAAGATTGTTACACAGTTTTCATGCAGAAGATCTTAAATTCTACTGTAAATTTCCAGTTAACAAACACGGGCATCTCCTTTGTGACTCTGGATATACTGTCAATTATAGCAGACTAGAAAATAAGTCTCACCTGTCGTCTTCAAGCTAGCTACCTAAAGGTAAAGGTTCTCCTCACACATATGTGCTAGTAGTTCCCGACTCTAGGGGGCAGTGCTCATCTCCGTTCCAGCATGACTAAACGCTGAAGGCACACAGAACACTGTTACCTTCCCAACAAGGTGGTCCCTATTTTCCTACTTGCATTTTTACATGCTTTCAAACTGCTAGGTTGGGAGAAACTGCGACAAGAAGCTCACTCCATTATGCAGCTCTAGGGATTCGAACTGCTGAACTGTCAACCTACTGATCCACAAGCTCAGCATCTTAGCCACTGAGCCACTGTGTCCCATAGTTCTTAGCCCATAATTCTTAGAACTCATATCAAATTTTCCACAAATATTTTCTTACATTCAAATCATAGCCCATGACTTAGACATATTGTGAGGTTTAGTGTGGTCAAGTGTAACCCAGCTGCAAGGAGCTTACAAATAATCATTTCCTTTTCTGGATTGCCCTGCCTTGTTACAACTTGGTTTATACCACTGGGTCTAAATGAGGTCCTCATGGTGAAAGCCCTCTTACTCAAAAGATTCTTCAAAGAGCAATCTGGAATTCTTTCTTTACATATATTTAGATAACATATTAACAGAGTTGGAAGGGACCTTGTAGGTCATCTATTCCAACCCCCGCCAAAGCTGGAGTCCTTACACCATTTTTGATAGATGGCAGTCCACTCTCTTCTTGAAAGTTTCCAGTGATGAAGCTGCCACAACTTCTTAAAACAAACTGTTCCATTGGTTGATTGCTCTCACTGTCAGAAATATTCTCCTTATTTCCAGGTTGAATCTCCTTGTTCAGTTTCCATCCATTATCCCTTGTCTGGCCTTCAGGTGCTTTGGAAAATAGCTCGGTCTCCTCCTCTCTATGACAGCCCCTCAAATATTGGAACATTGTTATCATGTCACCCCTGGTTCTTCTCCACACTAGACTAGCCATGCCCAGTTCTTGTAACCATTCTTCATATGTTTTAGCTTCTACCTGTATGCCTGTACACAGTTTTAGATTCCCAATTCATTATTTTCCTTCAGAGTACATTTTTAAAGAAAAAACATATAAATGGCTCACCTTCTATGATAATTAAAGACACATTCCAAAATGATCTAACTTAACACAATTAAATCTACATAATAAGGCCAAACTCAGTTATTCCGTAAAAATATATTACTGAGATTCCTTGACACATGGAATACAATCATCTGAGTTCAGTCAAGTAGGAATTACTGGTGTTTGTTCAGGGTATAAAGTAATGTTCAAAATATGATTGACTTTCAGATGCTTGAATCTTAAAGGATTCCACCACCACCCCGCCAGATATAAAATATTAAGATATTTTATAAGATATTTTATAATATCTTATTAAAATAATAAGATATTAAAATGAATAAATGTTGCTTCTTTTTTGCTAAATGTAAGATTTTATATTATATTCTTTTTCATGTTCTTGTAGATCTCTCTGGTGTAAAGTCAAAAGTAGGTTATAATTTTCTGAATAAATACAAAAGTAATGGCAAGCTCTCGGAAAGAAATTTCCAGTGAGACCAATTAGCTAATTAGTATTATTTATTTATCATAATACTACTAGCCTGTTCTTTATGTCAGAATGATAAAATATAAGTGATATAAAAATAAAAGAGCAACAAATAACAACATTTTATGAATAACAATAAAATCACACAGGAACCATTAAACTGTTAACATTCTAAAAGCCAAAATAAAACTGTTTTTACCCAGCACTAAATAAAGGAAGCTGTGTACAGGGAAAACAGAAAATATGTCTAAGTGTAAGACACTCAGATAGGATGTTCCTGGTGGCATTTCCTTCATCTCAGAAATAGTCTGACAATGGAATAATCCTGGTGTTTGAGGAAGATGGACATCTTTTTCATCAGACTACATAATAACCGTGGCACGACATAACCGCGAACGTCAAAAGCGCGCCGACAACACCGTGGCGCTAAAACTGCGATGTCAAAAGCGCGCCCACAACAGCGCGCCAACAGAAGAGCGATTTAACTTAAGGTAAGGTTTAGGGTTAGGTTTAGGGTTAGGTTTAGGGTTAGGTTTAGGGTTAGGTTTAGGGTTAGGTTTAGGGGTAGCTTTAGGGGTAGCTTTAGGGTAGCTTTAGGGTAGGTTTAGCGTTAGGTTTAGGGTTATTTTTAGGGTTATGTTACAGCGCGCTTCTGTCGGCGCGCTGTTGTCGGCACGCTGTTGTCGCGCGCTTTTGACTGTGCGGTTTTGTCACCGCGCTTTAGTCACACACGCTTTAGTCTACCGCGGTTTTCTGGTGGAACCCATAATAACTGTTCGATTAATTGGTTGAATGATGATATGCTATCAAATTGGTGTCAACTCTTACAGATCACTTTTGTCCATGACCACATAATAACTGTGGACCTCAACTGCAATTACTTTCAGTATGTCAGTACTGTTACAGCCATGTCAAGAGACGACATCTGATATTTCCAAAAATCTGAAAATACTCAAAACAACCCAGCTCAGTCTAGAAGTATGTTTTCTATTAGATTCAGAAAATTGGGAGGCAGAAAGTCTGATCATCTGGAATTGCCATCTTATAACAGGACTACAAAAATGGGGCCTCCACTGACAACTGATACCATTTCACTTATTCATCTGTCTACTGAATATATAGATATTTTTATGCAGTTTCACAAAATATGCATATCTTTGAGCGGAGGAATGCTTGGAGTATTGGGAGCAAACACTGGAAAATTACATTCATACACAGCAGATCCCATTTTGTTCTAACAGTGTATTTGAAAACTTTCCCACATTTCCCAATAGTCCTGGGTGAATAACTGAGGCTGCAAGAGAATGCATGGCTAAAATTTTCCAGGGAGTTCATGATTCAGAAGATTCAGAAAGAAGATCTCCTATCCTTATATTTCAATCTCTTATATCTTGCCCCAGCAGTGTTTAAACATGCCTTACTGATTATTCATTTCTGTTTTTGAAATGATTCATGATGCTCAGGTGAATATCTGTTTGTTTTTTTAAAAAAAATCTTTATTCTATGACTAAGTCCCATATGAATGTGCTTCAGAGAAAGTATGGAAAGGAAAAGTGGGCAAATAAGCTGAAAGGCACAAAATCTTGCAAACCAGAACTGATAGGCTGTCACAACTAAAAGGCATTAATAACAACAATCAAGAAGGAAGGGGAAAGAGGAGAATCACATGAATACACATAAGAGAATGAGGTGTCCTACTGGATCAGATTCAACGCTCCTGAACTTTAACAGACCTATCATCTCCAAGCCATTCTAAATGCAGCCAATTTGGTGGTCCAGTCTCTCAGTGAGAGAGCAGCATGTATGCTATGGAGTCCAGGGGCTATCTAGATCTCCTTGAGTGATGTTCCTCAACTTCCATGATTTTGTGATGTTTGGACTTCAATTCCCAGAATTCCCCCGCCACTAGGGAATTCTGGATGATGAAGTCCATGCATTTTTAAATTCATAGAGATAGAGGAACACTACTCCAGAGAAAAGAAATTAAGCTACATAGCATCCACTTTGCTTCACTTCTGCTTCCTTTAGTCAGGAATATGAAGAAGTAGCTGCAGCCATCCAATTTGCCGGAATCAGAAGTCCAATCATGTCTTAAGCCCAAGAAAAACAATACTCTGACTGGCACTGGCCTGAGGACAAAAACCAGGCTTGCCCTGTTTTCTAATGAGCCATTACCAGAAGGCAATTTGCATTGTGAAAACTCAAAATGTGTCTTGAACACCAGACATGGTGCTTGTCTTCCTGGTGATAGATTGCCCTGTTCTTGATGGATGGAGAGCTGACAATGAATAAGATGTAAAGGCAAGACTGCACCCTTGCAGTTACTAAAACAAACAATACCTTAAGGCAATTCGGGGCTAGCAAATAGTAGCCTGAAATCTTGGCTTGCAGCTTCTCAAATGTTTCCTTCCTCAAAAAAAAAATCAAACAAACAATATGACAGTCAGAACTTTGCCATTGAAGCCAATCCTTTTACATACAACAAAGAATACAATAGAACAGAACAGAACAGAACAGAATAGAATTCTTTATTGACCAAGTGTGATTGGACACACAAGGTATTGTATCATCTGCAAAGGGATGGGTCTTTGATTTCATTCAGTTATGGCTACCACCTTTACTTTCTCAACCTCCTCCTTGCATATAAACCTGCTTCCTGTTGGGAAAAATCGAAATGACATCCTGCTTTGTAATTAATTGGAAACACACCACTCCACAATTGGAGGATCTGCAGAAGTAACCCACTTCCGTAGCATTGTAAGTTCCATTATAAGAAGTCCACCCAGGACACCACAGTTGCTGTCTCTGGCATAGTAAGGCTGTCCTTTAATTACTTTTATTACTTTTCAGGACTTGTGTTTCTCCAGAAGATAGCTGTCATGATAAACTTCCAATAATCTTCAGTGATTTTCTATGCCCTTAAACCCATCTGAGAAATTTTCCCTCTTACCAGATCACCAGCAACTCTCTTAAAAGCTAATCACCGTTTCCAACTTCAGTGGTGCAAAATATTCCCACATGAGCTTGCTCTTTTTGCTTTTTTGCTTTTGGACAACGGTACAAATCTGTATGCCCTCAGGTTATTCTTTGTTTTCTTTGCCTCTATCTCAACCCCACAGGCTTTCAAGTTTTCATCAGCAGAGAAAATGGATAACGTTCTCACACTCTTGCTAAAGAGTTCAATCATTTCTCATGATTTTAGCAGCTTTCCAAATGAAGTCATGGATCACGACCAGGAAACTGGTATGTACGTATATTATCCTTTGTCTGATTTGTTTACTGAGAAGGTTCATATCAGGGTCATTTTTCATACGTGTTAATACAGGACACACTTTGTGAGAACCTCACGTTTCACAAAATGTCAACATTCCCCCTCCTCCAATCAGCAATGTGAAGAAGACACTGTGCATAATTTATTGAGTTTTTTATTATTATTGGCTGATAGTTGTTTCATCAATTTTATTTGGCTGGGTTGCAATATTAATTTATAGATTATTACTATGAATGTTTTAAATTGTTCATTGATTATTTTATCTAAGGATGTCTTAATTGTTGATTTGTGACGGTAAACATTCATAATCCTAGAAAGAGTTGGAAAGATGTAACCGGAATAAATAAATAGCTTGAGACTGCCCAGGCCTAAGAGATTAGGGGGAAAATATAAAAGGAGAAGTGAAGTGAAGAATTATGTTTAATGATGTATATTAGAAATACGTTTCACTGGCTGGCTGGCTGGCTGGCTGGCTGGCTGATTGACTGCTTTTAACATTAAACAAAAGCCCCTCATAATCAGTGGTGATTTTTTTTTACTACCGGTTCTGTGGGCGTGGCTTGGTGAGCATGACAGAGGAAAGATACTGCAAAAACTCCATTCCCATCCCACTCCAGGAGAAGGGTATTGCAAAATCTCCATTCCTGCCCCACTTTGGGGCCAGCCAGAGGTGCCAGTTCTTTGAATTACCCCTGCTCATAATGCGATTTTTTTTAAAAAAAATTTACTGGTAAAATAAATGAATCTTTGTTGGTTTCAAGTAAGGTGGTGAAATTATAGTTAGCATTCAAATTTACCTTTTTGTACCACAGCAGGGGTACCTGTAGAAATTCAGAAAATCTGAAGAGTAAGAGTAAGAGTGAAAGTAAGATAAAAATAGTTACTGTCCTATCCACTTTTCTTCCACTCTAGCCATTCTTCTATGTTATATTTAAGAAATGGTAGAAAATCATTTAAGAAGTGGGAAACTGCCTTCAAGACTGGCAGCTATGAATAGATAATCGTCCATGAATTTGTCCAGTCCCCTTTTTAAAATCAATTAAACCAGTAGCTTCACCAATCCATCACTCGAGATTTTCAAAAATAGACTGGACAACCATTTGAGTACAATTGTATAAGGTAGAGATCTTCAAACTTGGCAACTTTAAGACTTGTGGACTTCAACTCCCAGAATTCTCCAGTGAGCATAATTCCAACATAGCTGGCTGGAGAATTCTGGGAGTTGAAGTCCACAAGTTTTAAAGTTGCCAGGTTTGGGGATTCCCGGTATAAGGGCTAGACTACAGGATAAGTCATTTCGGCCCTGTGATTCTGTGTTCTACTACATCTGATGGCAATGAAATCCATCCACAGTTTACCTCAAAATCCAGTTGAGGTAAACTGTCTCACCTCAAAAATACTAACTTTGATTGATCTTGATTCTGTCTATATTTAGTTTTAAAGAATGATACTACATAATGGTAGAGGGGAAACATTTTTGCCCATATTTTTTTATTCCATACATTATTTGATGTAGGTTTATCATGTCTCCTATTTTCTATTCACTTCACATTAAAATGCTGCAGATATTCTAAACTTTCTTCAGAGGGCAACTGTTCTAATGCTGATAATAATATCGAATACATTTTTACAACAGTGGCACTCTGAGCTGGCATTTTCGTTGAGCTGTTCCCCATGACTCTAAGATCCCATTGCTAATTACTCATCAACAGCTTAGAACCCATTAGCATCTGGGTGAAAGTGGATGCACGTGCAGGCCATCATGAATCACTTTTGATTCCTTCCATTGAATTGCATTTGAAGGTAATGGACAAATGTGGCATCATGTCAGCTGGCATTTTCTGCCCATAGCAGAATACAGATGTCTATGAAGATTCAGATCATGGTTGTCGTAACATGGTTGTCCAAATATAGGAGAACAAAGCCATCAGGACTAGGTTTAGCAATCCACCTGCATTTAAAATACAAAGGCCACTCTTTTGAAGAGAGAAAAGTCCACATTTTGGATAGAGGACCACTGATTTGAAAGAGGGGTCAAAGAGCCCATCTATGTCAAAAGTGAACAGCCCTCTCTCAACAGAGAGGGAGGGATATGACAACAACTATCTCCAGTCTACAACACAGTCCTTTCAACAATTCCAAGAAGGCTCCACACCCATTTGTGCTAGGCAGGTGACCCTGATGATGCAGATAAACCTCCAGGTGGCCTTAACAACTTGGTAAAAGAATGCAAATGACCAGCGGTCTGCAAGGAGTATAGATCCTTCCATTCCCCACCATCCAATCAGAGCTAAAGAAGCTTCTTGGATGCGAAGCAAAACTAAGGGTTTCATTAGGAGTGACATGATAGCAGTATTCCAGAATTAGAGGGGCAGCCACAAAGTAGAGAGGGGCAGATTATTCTCCAAAGGACCAGAGAGAAATAATGATTGGAAACTAATCGGAGAGAAAAGCAACCTGGGATTAAGGAGAAACTTCCTAACATTAAGCACAATTAGCCAGTGGAAGAGCTTGCTTCCAGAAATCGTGGGCACTCCATCTCTGGAGGTTTTTAAGAAAAGACTGGATGATCACTTGTAATGGTGGGATTCAAAAATTTTTACTACTGGTTCTGTGGGCATGGCTTGGTGGGCGTTGCTTAGTGGGCATGGCAGGGGAAGGATATTGCAAAATCCCCAATCCCTCCTGATCAGTTGGGACTTGAGAGGCAGAGAATAGATGGGGGGGGTAGTCAGAGGTGGTATTTACTGGTTCTCTGAACTTCTCAAAATTTTCTGACTGGTTCTCCAGAACCGGTCAGAACCTGCTGAATACTACCTCTGGCCACTTGTCTGAAATGGTATAGGTTCTCCTGCCTGAGCAGAAAGCTGAACTAGAAGACCTCCAAGGTCCCTTCCAGCTCTATTCTAGTCTATTTTATTCTATTCTATCCTCTCCTATCCTAGGAGGAGGGGGGAGAAGGAATCACATGCTTTGGCCTCCATACTGCTTGCTAAAATTACATATGAAACTGGATCAGGGGTGGGTTTCAAAAATTGTTCGAACTTACTCTGTGGGTGTGGCCTCCTTTGTGGGAGTGGCTTGCCACCAATGTGACCGGATGGGAGTGGCTTGCCACTCATGTGACCAGGTGGGAGTGGCCTGCCACGCATGTGACTGGTGGGAGTGGCCAAGACAATGTTATTACTAGATATTACTAATTACTAGATATTATTAATATTACTAGATCTTTATTAATGCGTAGATAACTGCGGGACATTACACACCCACCCACCCCCACACACACACACAGACTATGACAGTGCCAGAAAAACACCAAAAAATAAGAATCTCCCCCCCCCCAAAAAGACTGCCAATGAAACCAGTTTTTTTTCCTAAGCCTAAG